CGGTAAAGGCCCTAAGTACAATCTACTTGGTTGCTCTGAGTGCCGACTGACTGCGGTCGGGATTCTCTAGTAACAACCTATCGATCGTCGAAAAGTCCTCTACACTGTAGCTACTGTGGGTATTTATAGCTGCTGTGCCGGGGACAAGATTCCAGCCGTTCGGCATGTTCTCCACGTAGCCACCACGTGTCATCCTCCCAGGTGCCCTGTCTGTCATCGTAAAGAGCTGCCACGTGTCCTTTGTCAGCTCTCTCGCCAAAGGGCTACCGCTCGGCGGTCGACACCGACGCTCGGGCAATTCCTGGTCGCTTCCCGACCGGGTTCTTTGTATGAAGCCCGACCTGTAACCTGCAAAAAGAAACAGAGAAAACAAAGGCAAGTCGATCGGGGTAAAGCTTAAGGCGGTCGGGATATTCCCTACCAATTAGCAATTTGTTTCTCATTAGCGATGACATTAGGCCTGCGATTTTCATCCCCTCTGGTTGTCGTAAGTCGGACTAAATTTTGGGCCAACTTGTTAATAGCGACTGTGGTTCTCTCTTTATCCGATCCCTCTTGGCCTCCTTCTGCTTGACCCTCAATCTCCGGTGGATCCTCAGCTTCATCCTCCTTATTGTTTCCATTAGCCAAAGGCGCAAATCGAGATGTGTTCACCCTCCCAGTACTCACCCCATTATTACCCCCACGGCTGCTTGGCGGCTTGGTGTTTCTGCTAGGGCCTGTCGCTGGCTGCCTGCCCCTCCTTTGGGGCGCAATCATCCAAGTCCCAAACGGGACTTTGGGATCATCAGCCTCCGTCACCGCAATCTTCTTCTGCGCCACCTGGGATGGGTTTACATCCTCCGAATCGTCGTCCTTGTCGTCCTCCTGGTCAGGACCTGACTTTCTCAGTTTCGGACATTTTTCTTTATCATGCCCATAGATACCACATGAGAAGCACACCAGATGAATGCCCTCATACGCCACATGCCTCACTTTGCCTTCGTATTTAAATTTCGATATAATTGGCTTACGCATGTCGATCTCAACGCAGATCCTCGCAAACATCCCTCGGGCTCCCAGGCTGGTCGCCTGATCCACACGCACTGCCCTACCAATTCGACTACCAAGCTTTCGAAGGACCTTCTCCGTCGTGTCATTCATCGGATCAAAATCTGGTTCCCACGGCTTAACAATCAGATAATGGTCTAGGACCATCCAAGGCCCTTCAAACATGGCAAACTCTAAATCATCCACAGATCCAAATCTTACCAGGTAGTAATCATTGGCTAGAGCAATCAGGTCCATGTTAATCTTCGGCTTCCACATTGCCACAAGCCGCCGAAGCATATACGCATAGCCCACTCGTCTTCCCATTACCTTGATAATCAGTGATTTCCTCCTTGGTCAGGCGGATTGTGGGGCAAAGAGGGTCATCGTTTTCCTCCGCTATGATCTCCTCATGCACTTGATCAAGACTCATGGATTCCTCCTGCCTCGGCTGTGCTTCCGCGATCCTCCCTGTCAGGCTCTCGGCATAGGTCCGCCGTGGTTCCTCCAGTTGTCTAGGCATCGCCGGATCTCCCAACGAAGGATCGGGGACTGCCATGCATGGCTCCGCCGATGAAATCCCCACGTTCCCTCCATCCATGTCGGCCAGCGGCGTCTCTTGCACCATCACGATCTCTTGGCTAATGCGTTCTCCATGATCAGCCAGCCATAGCTGTTGATCAGTGATCACCATTTCTCGTTTGGATTTCTTTGTGCTTCGTTCCAGTAGATCCATATCCTCAGATGAGCGCGGAGACGAGAGCGTTTCCGGCATCGTCTCGTCGACCTGATATGGTTATTTAAAGATCCTTTACTTGTTTTTGCTTGCAATATAGTGTTTCTTCATATTATTTGCTTTATTAATTTTTTGAGACTATTAAATAGAAATACTACCAGGACTATGTGGTCTAATGGTACCCGGGTTGGACTTCTATTTGGAAAGTTATGAGTTCGAGCCTTGGTGGAGGCGTTATTGGCTCTTTGTGTTTCAGTAGGTTAAGAAAGTATATGAACAGATACTACAATGTAATAGGGCAAGTAGCATTCAAAAAAACAAAAACTAACTTATCCACCCTTTTTAAGGTTTAAAAGATCTTGGAATATATTAACTCGGAGTATAATAAAGAAGCTTCACTTAGCAATACTTCTGAAAATTTTAAACATTGGGATAAAGCTATTAATAGTAAGAATAAGTTAATACAAGAAAAAAGAGATTGGTATCAAATAGGTAATTACCATAGAGCTAAATATATAACATGTGAAAATGAAACGGGGAAAAACTATTATTATGATAAATGTAAACAAACAATAAATAATCTAAACAAAATAGATAAAAAGATAATAGAACTTGATAAAGAGCAGTAGTAAAAAGAAAGGAAATATTTACAGCGAGATAAGTGATTATGCATTTGTACAACGAAGAATTAAGAAAACAAAGAATAATGTTGTGGTCCAATGGTATCCGGTTGCTCCCCTAAGTGGGAGGTGATAGGTTCAAGTCTTAGTGGAGGCAACCTTGGAAAGGTATAAAACAAAATTGAAAGTGTAAATGAGTATTTAGAAAAGTTAAGAATAGAAAATAAAAAAAGAAAGAAGAAGAAATTAGACATAAAGATATAGAAAATAAAAAAGTTTAACTTTTAAACCTGAAACCTGAAATCTATGAAAAAGTGCAAAAGGAGAAAATAGAAATAAGATATGTAGTACAAAAACACGAAAATGCAATTGATATTACAACGATTAATGGCACGATTTCTACTCTGCCGCCCCTTTCTCCTTCGCCACAGGTTACTCCTCCCCCTTCCCCCACCGCTACCGATCGTTACCCCTCCCCCTTGATCTCGTCCTCCATTTCGCACTGTTCTCTCCCTTTTGCTTTGTTTACTGGTTTAATCTTTTGTTTGCAGTTTTTGTGTATTTCCCTTCGTTGCTTTGACGAGTCTGTTTCCTATCGTTTCTTTGGAGAGTTCTTTTTCATAAAGCGTGAAGCCATAAAAATGATCATTGGCGTATGTGAATCTCATCCTGGGTGACAAAGATGACAACGCAAAAGCGCAAAGCCCATCCTCTGAACTATGATATGTAGTTCAGCTTGATGAAAATATTGGACATAAGAATGGAACTAGATACCCATATAGTGTGCAAGACTTTTCAACCAGAGTTAATCTTGGCTACGTAAGCTTTAAGTTTCTCTTACGACTTCAGCTTTAAGTTTGTGAAACAATCTGTGAATCAAGTTTTCTGTAACATTGTTAGAAAAGTTGTTTCTATGTCTGAGGAATGTTTTACCATTCAATCGATCGTTATTGTAAATGTTTCATCTTATGATTAATGAATTAGTTTATTTATTTTTAAGAAAATGATAATAATATCAATACAAAATAGGGTTATATTCCCATCCTGATTTTATTTCCTAATGCATGTTCACTAATTCTTAATGTAGCAATAAAAAAAAAAATGTATTCATTTTTTTATTACATCAAGGGGAGAGGATACTTTGAAAGATATTGGCCCTGTTTGGTAAAAAATTGGCCTATAGGTCAATTTTGGCTTATTTGACCACTACTAATAGTTTGATTTAGTTAAAATATCAATATAAATGTTTGGTTAATTAGCTTTTTGCAACTCCAAAAGACAAAAATTCAAAAAGCTACTCCAAGCAACTTTTTCAATTAGCTTTTTGAGAAAAGAAATTATATCAAACAGCTATCAGCTAACAGCTAATTTACCAAACATTTCTCTACAATCAGCTAATGTTATCAACTATTTATACCCTCTAATTAACACAATCAGCTAACAGCTATCAGCTATCAGCTATCAGCTAACAGCCATTTTACCAAACAGGGCCATTAACTTAATGGTGATCATTACGTCCCTCTTAAAGAGGATACCGAGTCTGTCATAAATTGTTTGTTTATCATGTGACTGATGTAAGTCAAGCACGCTTAACTACATAATTCTTTGGCTAATTAACCATGTAACTATGTCATCGTTCCATAATAAGTCACAACATCACTTCTTGAATCGAACAAGGACTAAACTCAGTCGAACAAGGACTAAACTCAGTCAAACCCGATTGATGCCTAACAAAAAATGAACCAATCAAATATTTTCACCTAAAAAAGTGAAATCAAGCAAGAAATAGAACATTTACTCATTAATATATTATCATAAAAATATAATAATATATTTAACTCAATTAATTTCTCTATCTACCTAGCTCATGAGTCAAGAATCATTTTTATCATTGCAACCAAGTATTGATTCAACAACAAGATTAGAATTGTAATAAGAATCAAATACTTATTAATTGGAATAGACTTTAGAAATGCACGGTTGGTTTGATAGTATATAAGGTAACTGAAATTGAATATATGATAAATAGGTGTGGAAGTCCATGAACAAAACATCCACATCTGACCTCATCAACATCTAGAAATTATAGCTTAATGAAATCTTAATTATTTAGAATTTTCTACACATTACCCTACACTAAAAGTCATGATTTGCCGTCCAAAAGAATGATTTTCCCCTCTTAATCGCATTATATAATATAATGTTCACCAAAAAACATATAATAATACAATAAAATGTGATATTTGACTAATAATAATAATATATACTCCGTTTAATAAAGTTACTTTCAATACGACAATTATTACTCAAAAAAAAAAAAAAATCACAAGATTTCAACAACAAAATCACTGTGTAAATTACAAATTACAAATCTTATAAAATCATAGCAAAAAGGACAAGAAAATAACCTACCCAGTGAAAATTTAGACAACAACATCACAAATTAAGAAAGAAGAATATTCATAAATATTCTCTCTTTTTTACAACACACAATCATGAGAATTACATAGCAGATAGATTCTTTTTTTTTTTTTTTAACTGCCGTACTTTTTTTAAGGAATTATTAAAATTTACTTTTCTGTATTAGATAATTTGTTTTTTTTGAGTTTTTACCGTTAAGCGCCACTGATCTGAGAGACTTCGGTCCTCTGAGAGGGGCTTCGCCAGAACCCGGCGCCGTAGAAGCGGTCCCACATTTCCTTCTCGAGCTCGACGACCTCATTGTCGGACTCAAGGGCGGCGGCCACGGCGGACGGCGAGGAAATGGGGTGGATTTGGAGCTCGGAGTCGGGGCAGCTGCAGTGCCTGACGGGCCACATGCCGTTCTTCATCATCTTGCGGCGGCGCTTGCTGCGGATGGCCTTCCTGCAGATGCCGGCGGGGAGCTTGTAGACGGCGAGCACCACCAGGTTGACGAGGCCGCAGGGGCAGCAGCAGCAGACGGCGGCGATGTCCGCCGTGGTCCCTCCGGCCACCTCCGCGAAGCGAGCCTTCCGGACGGCTTCGGGGCCGGAGGAGGAGTCCCGGGCGGGGTTCAGCAAGGGCTCCCTACCCGAGCCCGGCGACCGGAGAGAGATCCGCTTCGTCATTATCTAAAGGGGAAGCGGAGCTGAGATAGATACAAATCGAAAGTAGTACGTATTAATTCCTATCCCTTAAGATAATGAAACGGAGGATCTAAAAGATTGGGGAAATGAAACCGTTGGGGAAGTTGTGGTGGGGGATAAACAAAGAAACGGTCTCTACGGCCGCGGATCGGAGGTAGTGTGCGACGGCGAAAGATCAAAGCTAAAAGCTATGGATAAAATAGAAAGTCCCAACAAAGCAACGAAATATGAGGGAGGGAACTAACCCGACCCGGATACCAGTTTTTTGTGCTTATCCGCTAATTCCTATATTTTTTTTTTGATTAAAAGTGTGTGGATTGTCCAAGAGAAAAAGCTATAGACCAGCAGGTTGGTGAAGGAAGAAGAAGATGACTGGTGTGGAATATTGGGAGAAGGAGAGGGAGAGAGAGCCTTTTCAGGGGAATTTAAAGATGGTCTGTACTCTGTACGTACCCTCGCTACCTGATCACCAAGAGAGCTGTAATTTATCTTTTTTTAAATTGTTATTTTTTCGAGACATTAAGGGCTAGTTTATTACCGGAGTCTACTTTTATTCTATAACTATATTTGCGCTCGTGCGATGCACAGAATGAATTGTTATAATATATTAAAAATATTTGGATTGATATATAGTTATATAAATTAGAACATCAAATATTATATAGTGCAGTTGAAGATATGGTTTGGATTATTTATGTGTTTTGTTGTTATCAATGTTTGAATTTGAGCAAATAATTGTTCAAATTAATAGCTAATGTGTAGATGTACACATGTTGTGCTGTAATTTGGAGATTTTATTTAACATTGTTTAGTATTTTTTTTTTTTTATATAAATTAAACAAATGTGTTCGTTCTCTAGCAACTCAGTTATATGAATGAATTGCTATCTTAATTCATTTGTATAGAATATATATATATATATATATATATATATATATATATATATATATATATATATATATATATATTTGTCTATATATATAGCAATTTTGTCATTTAAAAAAAATATAATATCAACAATTGTATTTACACATTATTGAAATCTCTTTGTAGACATTGGTAGTAACAACGGAATCATGTCCATCATCGTATAGAGCTAACACCTTCAGTCCATCATGATAGGTGACTCGAGTGAAAATATATAATGGTATAGTATTAGTCAATTAGCAATCTTTTTTATATTTTAAGTCAATTAGTAATATCAAATTCATTTTCAGCAAATTATTCTTTTATATTTTTAGTCAATTAGTCAATTAGAATGTGATATTTTTACCTAATTTTTGTTTCATTTTTAATTGATGATATATAATATTATTATTGAAATATTTCCGTTCCATTTTTAATTTATCTTTAATATTGTTTAAAATATGCATTTACTATTTATGATGTAGAATTATTATTGAAATATTTCCGTCAAATTTTAGTTTTCGTTCCATTTTTAATTAAAATGCAATAATCTAACCATTTATTTTTTTTCATATTAATCAATTATGGATCATTTTTTATTTACACTTTGCAGTCAACTATTAGTATTCATTTCTTTTTATATTTTCAGTCAATTTGTAATGTCATATTCATTTTCAACCAATTATTCTTTTTTATTTTCAGTCAATTAGCCAATTAGGATATCAGATGCAATGATATTTTTACTCAATTTTTGTTCCATTTTAAATTGATGATGTACAATATTATTATTGAAATATTTCGATTTCATTTTTAATTTTCGTTGCATTTTAATTTATCTTTACTATTGATGATGTAGAATATCATTATTTAAATATTTTCTTTTCATTTTTAATTTACTTTTATTTGATGATGTAGAATATTATTATTAAAATATTTTTGTTACATTTTTAATTTCCATTTTGTTGTTTAAAATTGTGAAAGATTTATGACATAATTGTGATTTGATGTATTATACTGTATAATATTATTGTGAAAAATTAAAATGCAATGATCTAACCATTTCCTTTTCCATTCTAGTCAATTATGGATCATTTTTATTTTCAGTCAATTATTAATATTCATTTACTTTTTTAATTAACTTAACTTCAATTCCTTTTTTTCATTTTTAATTTTCAGTGAATTATTAATATTCATTTCTTTTTTCAATTTACCTAATTTTCATTATATTTTTAATTGATGATGTAGAATATTATTGTGAAATATTTATGTTCCTTTTTCCATTCTTTTTTTTTTTTAATTTACCTTTACTATTTACTATTGTTTGGGCAGGAAATCATGTAAATAGGATTTTGTTTTTAATTATATAGTATAGATTTGACCGTGAGGTTGTAACATATATATATATATATATATATATATATATATATATATATATATATATATATATATATATATATATATGAATTAGTTATATTATAAATTGTTTAAATTGATTATATAGGGTATTATGTTAGTACGTGAGAGCATTGAATATGGAAACAATATTTCCATGATTTTAGTTAATTTCTATTTTACATTTGCTTACAAAATAAGTTGTATTAAATTAGTTGGTGATAAACATCCAAAAACTATACACGGTAATACCATACATAATATTACCAATTATGCTAATATGTTATTATCTAATTAATTAATATCTTTTCTACACGGTATTATAAATACGTAAAAAAAAAATGGAGAATTTGCAAACAATAATGTTACCAAAAATATTATTATATTATAGAATATAACTAATATGTCTTTTATATATGGTATTATGTTATTACGTTAATACGTAAATATGGAAACAATATTACCAAGATTTTAGTTAATATCCATTTTACATTTGCTTACAAAATAAGCTTTAGTAAATTAGTTGGTGAAAATACAGCTACGCATGAAAGATGAATTCAATCTAAAAATGACAGTTTATAGTTTTGTATGTGCACATGCACGCATAAGGATGATGAGTTTTGTTCATATGAAGATAAGATAGTACTTATGTAGGCTGATTATTTATAATATATTTGGAAGTAAAATTTGAGGTCTAAGATCATATAGGGCACTCTTTGATCTTAAATCAATAAATAATTAGTTATATACACATTTAGCAGTACCAATGTTATTACTAATACTTTATATATATCAACCTTTAATGTGAGATAAGAAAGAATAATCAGTTATATGATACCTTTATTTGGATGCACTGAGACTATTGCAATGCTCCATCACTTTGCAAACATGTACAACTTTGACTTTGTTTTATACTTTAGATTATACTTTGCTTATCCTTTGAATTTTTATGTATTATTTTAAGCTAATTTATTTATTAACATTAAAAAAGTACATTTTAAATTGTGACAATTTATACTAATAAATCATTTTAAAAAGTGGCAAAAGATGATTAGAAAATTTGATGCCACTGCATCAATTTTTTTAAAAAAAATGTTTTATTGCTACTGTTTATCTCAATCATCTCATAAATAACAATAATGTTTCTTAGAGGGGTCTAATCAACACGTAAACTTAAAACAAAAAAAAAATGACAATCATAAACAAAATATGTACAAAAATAAATGATAAAAACATTATGATAATGATTAAGACATAAAAAATTTACTTTTCCAGAAAATCACAAAACTCTGGAAATCCTAATTAAAAGGAGCTGTGTATCAAGAGTTACATATCTTGATATAACCGGCTAATAAAAAAGAACATTCATTACTTGTCCTTATTCATACACTTTCAAATATAAAGAAAAGTTAAAACACTTGTGTTTAGATTAACTCTTTGTATCATTCTTAACTCTACACAATTGCATAAGAACAACCATAAGATTTGCAAGGTCAGAATTAAAAAAAAAAAAAAAAAGTTTCAACTCTTGGTATATGTTGATCTCACACTGTAGCTTTCAATTGATTGTCCCTATAAATAAATAAACTACTTAATAAAAAATACATATACAAAATACAATAAAAATAACAAAATTAGATAATTTACTTTGTATCCACATACAATTAGAAAATCAATAAGTTAAGAGGGCTTCCCTGCAATGATCTTATTCAATGGGGAGTATATCTCAACGACCCTACCAATAACGTCAAACATGTTAATAAAAAAAAAAAAGAGAATTCAGATGTAGATTAAAATTGTAAATGAAACTTACCAACGAACATATCATCTACAGACTTCAAAGATGAAAATGATTTCAATAAATAAATTTGTCTAGGAAAGTTGTCATTTTTTTTTTCTTTAACTAAAGTAGCATAGTTGAATTACAACATAAAATAATGAGTGCATTTTTTGTAAGTATAGAAATTACTTATCACCGTACATTTTTTAATGGCATACACTTTTCATTCTTTGAAAAGCTTACAGTACTTACCAACATGTTCCCTTGGTATATGAGCTTGAAGTTCCCTACAATGGAGTAAAAAAGAAAATGGTTATTTTACAATTTATTTTTGCAGTATAGGAAGCAGCTTTGGAATGCATCTTTTTCCAAATTTCATATACAACACGAGTTCTAGAAAAAAGCAAAATAAAAAAATACCATTTAATCGTGAAATATGCACTCTCTAGATTTTATGGAATCACTCCCTTTCTCCATGGGACTTCATATAGGTGCACACCAATCACCATCTAATAGCTCTGAAAGTCTTCAATGGAGAAATATCCAGGGCAATGATAAATATTGCAGTAGAAAAAAGCAAAATTGAAAAAAAAAAAATACCTCTTGATCGTGAAACATGCACTCTCTAGATTTTATGGAATCACTCCCCTTTCTCTATGGGACTTCATATAGGCCAGGTGCGCACCAATTGCAGTCTAATAGCTCTGCAAGTCTTCAATGGAGAAATATCCTGGGCAATGATAAACATTGGAGTCGTAACAATTATATGTTAATATACATATCTATATCTCTATATATAATTACTCAATATAAATAAATGAGTAAATGAATATAAGGAAAAAATATTACCAATTAGGTTAATACGTGATTATGGAAACAATATTGATTTTATTTAATTTCTATT